GGCTAAACCACTCAAAACCATTCATGAGATTTCCACAACTCCTTTACCACCAGAGCCATGAACCTCTTCGTGAAATGAGTTACAAACACTATCCTTAAAGAATATTACAAGAGTAAAGGAAAAAATCATAATCACTTTCATGAGATTCGAACACGGACTCTCTTTTATGTTTTGAACAAACTTCTACCACTTGACCTGAATCAAGTTGATTGATTCATATTGCCTTGAGATATATTTATTATAATAAATTACATAAATGAATAAATTTAGCATGTTTGAGATTCGAACCCTAGTTCTATAAGACACAAAGAAGCATTCCAACCACTAGAGCTACTTCTAGCTTTATAAAAAGAACTACACTATAATATATTTAACATATATTTTAAAAATTCAAACAACCTAATTTTTTATCCAGTTAAATCAGTTCAATCGTTAAACCTGCGAACAGAAGGTCAAAACAGTTTAACCTCTGGTTCGATTTTCAAAACCTTGCTAATACTAGAGTTACCATATACCCTCCAATTTACTGAACTCTACCACATGCAGGCCCACTTTCTTTTCCTTTTTTTTTTTTTATTAACCTTAAATTATGGCATATAAATATCCCTATTTTTAGTTCAAAAACCCTAATAAGACCCTTTTATTTCTCTCTCTACTTTTCATTCTTCGTCGCTGCCCCGCCTTTACTCTGTGTCTCAAAGCCTCCATTGACACCTCCAATCCAAATTTTCTCCTCTCAATCTCATAAGCCCCACTTCTTATCTTTCCCTCACTCGTTCTTCCATTTTCTTTTAGAATATGTTTGGATAAAAATTAGTAAGACAAAATACTCAAATTGACCTCCAAAGTATAGTTGCAGGAACGAATCCACTCCGAAAAAAAAAAGAAGGACAAATTCACTAACAAAATTTTTTATTTGGACAAATTATTTCAAATTTAACATGTGACCTTATCTAACATCAGCAATTCGTCAATTTGTTATGTCGCTAATAAGGGATTGTTGATATCAGATGATGTCAAATTATCAGATTGCTGACATCAGATGACATCACACTAAATTTGGGGTGATTTATCCAAGTTGAAAATTTTGTAGATAGATTTGTCCCCGTTTTTTGTTCGAGGGTGAATCTGTTCCTGCCACTATACTTTGGGGGTGAATTTGGATATTTTACCCATTAGTAAAGGGGAGTGAAGGAAAGTGAGGGGAAGGAAAGAAGGGGGAAGGGAAGGTGAGTAAAGCATTAATATTAATTTTGTTTGGATAGATTAAAAATGAAAGGTGCAATTCAGCCCCTCTACTTCAATTGTTGTGGCATATCAGTCGCTCTACTTAAAAGTAATGCAAATTAGCCCTCTACTCGACAAAAACCCACAAATTAGCCCTTTTGCTGACGATGACATCATAAAATGTCAACTTTCCATTTGCCTTTTTATTTACTCGATAACTAATGCCTACTTTACATTGACCAAGACATGATTGGGCAAGAATCACACAACTTGGAATTTTTTTTATTTTCCTCAAATCACGTGGCAAATTAATTGATTGAATGGAAAAAACATTTTACTTCATAAGGAATTCAAATATTTAGGATTCAAACATATCGACCTTCAGATCTCATGGAACATTAATGCATCTAATCTTTTTGTCACGCCCTAGAACCCAAATTCGAGGCGCGACAGACGCCGTACACCAGTGAGACGGGTCCCACGAATGCACAAGGCTCAGAACTTATTCAAATCACAATCTGATACCACAAAATTTCAAGATAAAATTTTACAATCTGCTCTAATATCATAAAATCTCCAAATACACTCTAGCTTGCAAGAGCATGATTTATTTCTAAATCTATACCAATCTCGAAATGGCTAGCCTTCTAACTCGTCACTCCACTCAGTTTCCCCGTCCTCGGTATCGCTTCCTGAAATGGTGGACAAGGAAAACTATGAGATAACTCAGTAAGTAAATATGGATAACCCTTGGGTAAAACTTTTAAGCATGCTAGATAAACCATGTAAGTATAACAGAACTTTCACTGATAAACCGTTAATGCGAAAATCAAATTCGGTTCAATAACAAAACGTTCACTGACAAAACCGTCAATGCAAAATCAGTTCAGTTCAATAACAAAGCGTTTCCTGACAAACCATTAATGCAGAAGAAAACTCAATTCAGTAGTCTCATCCATAGGTCATGGCCAACGTTTATAAACCTCCCACTGGCGGGCACAGTAATAGTACTAGTGTTTAACAACTCCCACTGGCAGGCGACAGTAATAGTACCAATGTTTAACCCCATTGGCAGGGTTACAGAATGGACCGGTCATATCAGTAAACATGTCGACATGTGCTAGCGTTTATAAACCTCCCACTAGCGGGCACAATAATCAGTAATCATGACCATATCCGAGACAAAACCATGCAAAATTTACAGAAAAACCCAAATTTCACAATCAATCCTGAATTTCAGAACAAACCAGAAAATTTTCGTGCAGGCATGGATTTAACAGAAAACTCAACATTTACAAAATTCTCAGTTCATCAAAGCAGTTCAGTCAATTCCCAATAGGCATGCTCTATTCCAGAAAAACAATGAAATTCTCATTTTCATTTCTCAATCATGCTTATTTCCAGAAAATCAATAAAATCCTCATTTTCATTCCAATCATGCTCAATTTCGGAAAAACAAGGAAATTCTCATGAAAATCATCCAAATTTTCATTTCAGTTTAATCACACTCAGATGCTGATGAAAATCAATTTAAACCTTGCCACCATCTCAAAAACAGTTTAAAACATGCTTTAAAATCGAAGGGCTCTACCATAATTTACTTACCTCACTCGCACAGAACAGAAGGCTAACCCAAGTGCTACGGTGACAGAACGATCAAAACCTAATCACAATATTCCACAATTAATACCGCACCACCACAAATTCAAAATGAAATCAGTTCTGTCACCGTACATCTTCACATAACCCAAGTGCTACCCCTAATCACGATGCTATTTCTATCAATCTTCACATAACCGAACATCTCCAAATTCATTCTTATATTACAAACTAGACATTTTAATCCCCATTAATTACTGACTCTCGGTGTGTGAATAGTGCCTATGAACAGTACCCAGTGAACAGTGATCCGCAGTGAACAGTGACGGTAACTTCAAAATTTTGGGCAAAACACTAGCTAATTTCACGGGATTTTTCTCCAAAATCACAACAACCCAATTCAAGCTAATTTCCTACTTAAACCACACTTAAAAACATAGCTTAAAGCTACCAAAATTTTCCCCTTTCTCACGGGCAGTACATGGAGAGCATAGCTTGGCAAACCACAACTCACACACACACGGGATTTTCACACAAAACATCACAGCAGCCAATTCAAGAAACTTCCACATAATTTAAACAACAAAACACATTTAAAGGGCTGCTAAATGCTACCGGAATTCCTCCCCTCATTTTAGCAAAATTCGGACAACACAAGGCAGCACTCAAGGGATTAAAAATCCAAACTGGGAGAGCTGCTACCTACCCAAATTTCCAGCTAGCAAACCGGGTCTGGCGAGCTTGGCAACCGGCGGGAGTTGGAGGGGAAGCCGGCGACAGAGAAGAAGAAATTCTGCAGGGGAACTCGCGGCTACCCAATCCAAAAACCAAAACACAATTCAAGGTAAACCCAAGCCAAATTCAAGTTTAAAGAGAGGAATTCATGGCTAAATCTTACCAGAAAAAGCCCAAAAATCACGGATGGCAGAAGCCGATGGACAGCAAGGGGAAGAACAGCGCAGATCTGGGATTTTCTGGGTTCTATGCTTGTTATTTAACAAGAGAAGAAGAAGAAATTTCAAGTCTTCTACCGGTTTTCAAAGGAGGAAGAAGTCGGTGGCTCAAGGGGGGGCTGGTCGGGGAGGCAGAGCATCGGGGAGAAGAAAAAGAGCAGATGCGCGGATAGGGAAGAAGAAAGAAAGAAAAAGAAAAGAAAAAAGCAATTGATCCTTATCCTAATTTCCTTTCTTTTGAGCCCCTCAACTTTTTAAAATTTTATGATTAAGCCCCAAAACAATATTTTTTTCTCAAAATAAGTCCCTTACTTAATGCTAAAATATCCCCAAATTTTGGGATATTACACTTTTTTTAGAAATTATCGAAATTAGGAAAAAAATTTTAAAAAAATCACCAAAAAAAAGCGAAGATAAACTTTTGTAACCACAAAATTCATAAACATTGAGAAATTGAAAAGGTAAATCCAACTCCTTTACTAATCCCTCTTTCTTAGTCCCATTTCAATCTGTTGTCCCATCTCAATCCATTAATTACAAATTCAACAAATATAGAAACACAATCAATGGAGATATCCTAACTAAATAAATATGAAAACTAGAGCATCTCAAACACTACTTCTTTCATTATCCAAGCTAGATAATGAACACCTCAAAGCAGTCAATTGAGTAACAATCATCTACTACAACACAAATACATGAGGAATTAAACAGATAATTAATCTCACTTCCAGCATTAAACAAAATATGCAAATCAAGGTCAGGGCACAATACCTAATTGAGAACAAAGGACCAACAGACAGAGCATAACTAGCAACTTAAGATTTTGGCAAGATTGGGATCGGCTCAAGTAAAAATTTGAACAGCCATGAATCCCTTCTTGCAATTACCCCTTTTACTTGGATCGTAAACCACTTAGGATATCCTGTAGCTAAAGTGACATGGTTGCCCTAGTTCAATCTAGGTTTTGCGAACCTAGAAATCCGTGGTTTAATTTGGGTTCCACAAACCCAAAAATCTAGGTTTTATCGAACTAGATTTGGAAATTTGTAAAGAGGGACAGGGACGAGAAGGAGGGCAAAGAAGAAAAACAAAATCAAAAAGGAGAAAGGAAGAAGAGAGCATCAGCAAAAAGAGAGGGAAGGGGAAGAAAAGAAAACCAATTTGTATGAATTTGATTTGGAGGGTGACCTAAAGATTTGATTGGAAATTGTAGGCTTGGTTTCTTCGACATCTTCAACGTCAATTTCAATGTTTTTACTTAAAAATTTTGAAAAGTGAGAGTGAAACTGAAGCTTGGATTCAAGATAAGGGGTCTGGGGTTTGGAACTAGGGTTGATGGGAGAGGACCAAGAAAACTGAGAAGGGGCCTGTTTGGTACAACTGTTAAAATTCAGCGGATAACAAATAGCAGGTAGCGGATAGCAGATAGCGGAAAGTAGATAGCGGATAATAAATAGCGGATTCGATAAATATAA